AAGACCCAGACATACCAGTCATTGCCAAATATTTCACCACCAAGGGGAGATATGAGGAAGTGAACCCACATCTCCGAGACGACATACTCTTCGTCAATAGGTCCGCCCTGAAGCCTCCATCTCCACAATGCCGAGAGGCTCATCTGACAGCCGTCATCAGGCACGGCACCAGATACCCTACGATTAAAAACATCCAGAAGATGAGACGGCTGTACGGGCTGGTTGAGAGCCGAGCCTCTGGAGAAGAGAGCTGGCTGCGCGAAATCCAGAGCCAGGGGGCGGTGGGGGAGACGGAGGGTCCAGAGCCAGTGGACGATGTGGTACACGGATGACATGGACGGCCGACTGGCCATGAAAGGAGTGAGTGACCACAAGCACCTGGCCGTCAGGCTGTCCAAGCTCTTCCCCTCACTGCTGACTGAGGAGAAGCTGCGGGCTGGACAGGTGAACTTCATGACGAGCTCCAAGCACAGATGTGTCAACAGCACGTTGTCCTTCATGGCGGGACTGACAGAACAGTGGGCGATCAGAGGTAGGACCGTGGCCCTCCTCACCCTCACTGCACTGGGTCTCACCACACCTCAATCAGTACATGGGACAAAACTCGAGTAGTTAAAATCAACAGATGTTTGTACGAGCTTTACCTATGACATCACAACGTCACCGTGACGTGACTGGAAAATAAATCTGACGCAGGACACGCCTTCTGTCTGCGTTGATCTGCACAGACTGGGTTAAGTCCGTGGAGTTTAATTGGAGCGTTAACAAGCTAAAGTTCTGCTTTTCTCTTTAGTCCATCCTTTATAGACTTCCTCTGTGGTTGTCCAGTTATTACTCTGTGGTTTGTACCTGTGATGGACACATACACAGAGCTTGGTTAACACAAGTCACTGCTATGAGGTGACATTCTTCCCAACAGTCGTGGCAAAGGAGAAACATCAGGTAAAATAAAATTAAAAAATATAAATATAAGGAAATAAAAAAAAAACAACAACAAAAAACTAAACCTAAAGTCTGGCTCTACTAAAGCTTGACCTCTCATAACCAGACTGGCCTCAGTTAGAGGCCAGTCTGGTTATAGTAGAGAAGGCATGCAAGGGCCTAATTTCACTAAAAAAAAAGTTTATTAGTTTATAGCTGCATAGTTAAATGTGGTATCGAAGTATAAAAACACCAGGCAGCACCTGTTAAACTAGGTGAAATTCTACCTGTAAAAGAACACGGTGACCGAGCCACAAGCATGAGTTAGTGCTGCAGGTTTGACGCCCTGACAAAAACAGTGCCATAAAACCATACAAATCAATTTTTTTTGACATGATATGATGTGCTGCCATCTTTGTTTTTACTTTGACTTGTATCAGACTATGAGCTCCTTAGTTCCAGCTACTTCCTGATTCTCCATGTGATTGTAATCCAGTAACGTTCTGTTTTCTCCTCTCTTTCTTTACTTCCCAGATGTGGAGTTTGAACACACACTGAATGATGCTCTGATGAGATTCTTTGACAAGTGCACCAGGTTTGTAGAGGAAATTGACAAAAACGCCACAGCCTCAGCAGAGATGCAACTGTTCAAGGAGGGACCAGAGATGAGGAGGGTCCAGGAAAAGATTGCAAGCCGCCTTCGTGTCCCTTACCAGTCCATCACAGAGGGTTAGTGGAATAGTTGAAATTCAGGACAGCTGTGAAATCAGCAATGTTAGCATCTGTTAGCATCTGTGGGAGTCTGCATTGATGCTAAATGACACTTATCAAATCACTGTAAACAAAAGACAAAATACAATTTTATCTGATCAATCGCAGTGCTGTGTAGCATGTTAGTGCACTGGCAGACTGTTTGTGTGATCTTCAGTGAATGTAGTTCAGCTGTTTGTAGTGCGAGCTAGAGTTCAAAGGTCACACACATTTACTACTTATTACCATGTGAGTCTTTCCACAGAAAGTTGTTCCCTGACGCCTTGATACTTTACTTTTAAGCCCGGTCACTTTTAAGTGACCATGATGAGAGGTGAGAGGAGATAATTATTCGTATGCTGCTTTTCTCATTTGTCATATTTTATCTTACACTTTTAAAGAGCAGCTTTTATAATTATTTCTTGTTTTGAAAACCATTCTTCTTTAACTACTTATACGTTTCTGCAACCTTCCTTCCACAGAAATGGCAGAGGCTGCCTTTGATTTGTGCGCGTATGAGTTTGCCATCAAGGCCGTGAACTCGCCTTGGTGTTGCCTCTTTGATGAAGTTGATGCTCTGGTATGTGTCCTCTCAACAACAAAATAGATGGATGGATAATTGGATGGATGGATGGATAGATTTCCCTTTGCCAGTCTACATTTCCCATTAATTTGCTAATTACAACTCCCCGCTAACTATCAACGCTTTGCATTGTGACGACAGAACTCCCCGCTACCTATCAACGCTTTGCATTGTGACGACAGACAAACTGCCAAAAAGGCTGGGTGCTAAAGGCTGCTAAAACTAGCATAGTTTGATTTAGCCAACAAAAATGGAAACATTTGTGATTAAAAAAAAACCCCAAAATATCCACGGAACACACAGTGTTGTCCAGCATCTTGTTAACGACTGCAGTAGTGAAACAGACGTGAGGCAGAAAAAAATGTCGGACTTTTCAAGCAAGCTGATAAGGCAAATCCCCATGGATAGCCTACGATGCTGCAAAAACGAATATGGAAAACCTCAACAGGGCCTATTAGTAGATTATTAGGTTAGTAGTAGTCGTGGGTTAGTAGATAATTATTGTTGTCATGTGTGTGGTGTTGTTATTGCAATCTCTATTATTTAATTACATTCGAACTCTATGCTATGCTGTGCTATGCTAAAATACTAAAACATATACCATATTATCTCTATGGTCTGTATATGTATAGATAAGCAAAATAAATAAATAGTTTAAATATAAATACAGTCTAAATAGTTAAATAAACAGTCACATATATTAGTATAAGTAGTATTGTTGTGAAATTCCGTCTTTACTTACGGAGGAATTTTCCCGGTGTCACTTACACAGACCTAATTTTACACATTTCTCTGTCAATCATTTATTATGATTCTTGGACCCTGGATCTCATGATGAGTCTGTGTCAATAAATATAAAAGGTTAAGTCTCCATGGAGAAAAAACAATTGTGTTATAATATATCCAAGAGTTTCTCGTCATTCAACTGGAAAAACTCAGATTACACCAGAAGTCATTGGTAGATAATAGTATTCATTCACTTTGAAAAGGTTTGCTGTTATCTGTCCCACAAAGATTATTTTGTATCAAGTTTGACTGACTCGACTCTGGTGTCCTACAGCTGGTAGAGAAGACAGTATGACTTTACATGACCCCTGTTCCAAGCCCTGACTAACAGCTTTTTATCTCATCTTCTCACAAACAGGTTATGGAGTATTCAAATGACCTGAAGCAGTTCTGGAAGAGAAGCTACGGCCATGACATCAACAGCAAGGCAAGTTGCATATTGTTCCACGATGTGTTCAGCCGACTGGACAAGGCAGCAAACGAGATCAAGTAAGCAAACTAGCCAGTTTACCAAGGGAAAATAGGCGTTCTTCTTCGTCCGTGTCTTCTTCTTCATCATCATCTTTGATAAATAAATGTCCTGACTGCCAAGTTGCTAACCGCATTAACTGCTTGTATCAACAATACCTCCCTTGTGTCATGCTTGTGACAGTGGTTAACATGCTATTTATGTCAGATCTGGCCAGCAAGTGACTGAAGCTGTGACAATCCAGATAGGCCACGCAGAGACTCTACTGCCACTGCTTACCCTGCTGGGCTTCTTTAGGGACAGTGAAGCCCTGAAATCAACAAACTTCGCCCAACAGGCCCAGCGTTCTTTCCGTACCAGCTACATGATGCCCTACGCTGCTAACCTGCTCTTGGTGTTGTACGACTGCGGAAATGGTGACCTGAGACTGCAGGCACTCCTCAACGAGAAGCCTGTGGCGTTTCCTGGTTTGACTGACCTGACATCCTCCATGCCACGTTATGAAGATGTCAGAAGTCACTACAGAGAACTTCTCCGGGGCTGTGACTTTGAGACTGAGTGTCAGCTGTTCAACAAACCAGTGGACAGTTAGGCAGACCATGTGGAATTATGTCAATCCTGTGTTATTTGCAAGTGCGAATGTGGATATTGTAAAGGTTTTAACCTCCTGCCTTTATTTCTTACCATGTCCTAAAAATATCATTTCAAGTGCTATGCAACATGATATCATTAATTACAAGATACTACCAAGTGATTTTTTTTCAGTAACAGTATTATGCACATGCACTTAAATTACTATGTTGTTCGTTGTGATGGTTCTAGTGGTTTTAACAACAGATTTAAATGACATATCGACAGATTTATAGTTGTAATACTACGCCTGCTAATTTACATTGAAGCTCATAGCAGAACACACAGTTACAGCATTTAACCTCAGGATATTTGCATTTTGTATTTCATTTGGTTTTTATTTGCAATGGAGGTCTGTATTTAAAATTTAATTGAAAAATGTTTCGAGGAAAGCCAAAAAATGACCTTTCCCCTTTACCCTACAGAACTCCAGAGCTACCACAACAAATGACTTTTATTTTGAATTTTGTTATTTAGTTCTCGGGCTTTGCTAAAATAACCATTATCCCGGGGACATATTACGTATGGGCTACGTATAAAACACTAAATTATAGGTCTGACGAGTCACTGCGGTTCGAATGAACGTAGTTAGCAACATAGCTGTTGACACAATGTACTGTTTATGAGTATTATAAGTGCTGCCTTTGTGTGACTGTTGGGTGCAGATATTTACTGTCACGCATACTAAATACATTTTATAACCTAAAGAAAGTCATTAGAACATGATGTAATACGATATCTGGTTCACAGAACACTCATTAATGGCAGTGTTATTTGGCAATTAATAGATACTACACAGCTTTTTAATAAAGTTTCCTCTCGTGGCCAATCAAGAATCAAGCCTGGCTGTTTACGTTCCAGGATATAGAATGTTGGTTGGACAGTCGATCGATGACGTCATCAGTTAGGGTCCTCGGGCGGAATTTGCCTGAACTGTGTGTTATCATGACGCCCAACTTTTGGATCCTCGTCGTCGCGCTTCTCATCAACATAACCGGGTTTTACTGCTGTCTTTATTCGGAAGAAGACCCAGACATACCAGTCATTGCCAAATATTTCACCACCAAGGGGAGATATGAGGAAGTGAACCCACATCTCCGAGACGACATACTCTTCGTCAATAGGTCCGCCCTGAAGCCTCCATCTCCACAATGCCGAGAGGCTCATCTGACAGCCGTCATCAGGCACGGCACCAGATACCCTACGATTAAAAACATCCAGAAGATGAGACGGCTGTACGGGCTGGTTGAGAGCCGAGCCTCTGGAGAAGAGAGCTGGCTGCGGGAAATCCAGAGCCAGTGGACGATGTGGTACACGGATGACATGGACGGCCGACTGGCCATGAAAGGAGTGAGTGACCACAAGCACCTGGCCGTCAGGCTGTCCAAGCTCTTCCCCTCACTGCTGACTGAGGAGAAGCTGCGGGCTGGACAGGTGAACTTCATGACGAGCTCCAAGCACAGATGTGTCAACAGCACGTTGTCCTTCATGGCGGGACTGACAGAACAGTGGGCGATCAGAGGTAGGACCGTGGCCCTCCTCACCCTCACTGCACTGGGTCTCACCACACCTCAATCAGTACATGGGACAAAACTCGAGTAGTTAAAATCAACAGATGTTTGTACGAGCTTTACCTATGACATCACAACGTCACCGTGACGTGACTGGAAAATAAATCTGACGCAGGACACGCCTTCTGTCTGCGTTGATCTGCACAGACTGGGTTAAGTCCGTGGAGTTTAATTGGAGCGTTAACAAGCTAAAGTTCTGCTTTTCTCTTTAGTCCATCCTTTATAGACTTCCTCTGTGGTTGTCCAGTTATTACTCTGTGGTTTGTACCTGTGATGGACACATACACAGAGCTTGGTTAACACAAGTCACTGCTCTGAGGTGACATTCTTCCCAACAGTCGTGGCAAAGGAGAAACATCAGGTAAAATAAAATTAAAAAATATAAATATAAGAAAATTAAAAACAACAACAACAAAAAACTAAATCTAAAGTCTGGCTCTACTAAAGCTTAACCTCTCATAACCAGACTGGCCTCAGTTAGAAAGGTCCTGGGCCATAGCTAATCTTGGGCCTGTTTTCTTTATAATACAGAAGGCACGCAAGTGTCTTAATTTTACTTAAAAAAAGTTTATTAGTTTATAGCTGCTTAGTTAAATGTGGTATCGAAGTATAAAAACACCAGGCAGTACCTGTTAAACAAGGTGAAATTCTACCTGTAAAAGAACACGGTGACCGAGCCACAAGCATGAGTTTGAGCTGCAAGTAATGACGGTATTACAATGTCCAAACAAAACCTAAAAACATCGCCAGCTACTTCCTGATTCTCCATGTGATTGTAATCCAGTAACGTTCTGTTTTCTCTTCTCTTTCTTTACTTCCCAGATGTGGAGTTTGAACACACACTGAATGATGCTCTGATGAGATTCTTTGACAAGTGCACCAGGTTTGTAGAGGAAATTGACAAAAACGCCACAGCCTTAGCAGAGATGCAACTGTTCAAGGAGGGACCAGAGATGAGGAGGGTCCAGGAAAAAATCGCAGACCGCCTTCGTGTCCCATACCAGTCCATCACAGAGGGTTAGTGGAATAATTGAAATTCAAGTTATTTAGGACAGCAGTGAAATCAGTAAGTATGTTAGCGTAGCATCTGTTAGCATCTGTGGGGGTCTGCATCGATGCTAAATGACACTTTGCTTTTAAGACTTAAAAGTGATCATGCGTGGAATTATTATTATTAAACCAAAACACCACTTATTACTCAATACCTAGGGCCACAAAACTTTTTGTTTTGTTTTGTATATCTTCTCTTTTTGAACTCTACTGGACCACACAAAAAATGCATCATCTGTAACAGTTTGGAGATAATTATTCGTATGCTGCTTTTCTCATTCGTCATTTTTATTTTACATTTTTAAAGAGCAGCTTTTATGTTTATATCTTGTTTTGAAAAAAAAAATCTTCTTAACTTCCTACCTACGTATACGTTTCTGCAACCTTCCTTCCACAGAAATGGCAGAGGCTGCCTTTGATTTGTGCGCGTATGAGTTTGCCATCAAGGCCGTGAACTCGCCTTGGTGTTGCCTCTTTGATGAAGTTGATGCTCTGGTATGTGTCCTCTCAACAACAAAATAGATGGATGGATAATTGGATGGATGGATGGATAGATTTCCCTTTGCCAGTCTACATTTCCCATTAATTTGCTAATTACAACTCCCCGCTACCTATCAACGCTTTGCATTGTGACGACAGACAAAATGCCAAAAAGGCTGGGTGCTAAAGGCTGCTAAAACTAGCATAGTTTGATTTAGCCAACAAAAATGGAGAAATTTGTGATTTATTGGAGCCCTTTTGTTAGAGTTTTGGTGGTTTGGTATAAGTAGTATTGTTGTGAAATTCCATCTTCACTTACGGAGGAATTTTCCCGGTGTCACTTACACAGACCTAATTTTACACATTTCTCTGTCAATCATTTATTATGATTCTTGGACCCTGGATCTCATGAGGAGTCCGTGTCAATAAATATAAAAGGTTAAGTCTCCATGGAGAAAAAACAATTGTGTTATAATATATCCAAGAGTTTCTCGTCATTCCACTGGGAAAACTCAGATTACACCAGAAGTCATTGGTAGATAATAGTATTCATTCACTTTGAAAAGGTTTGCTGTTATCTGTCCCACAAAGATAATTTTGTATCAAGTTTGACTGACTCGACTCTGGTGTCCTACAGCTGGTAGAGAAGACAGTATGACTTTACATGACCCCTGTTCCAAGCCCTGACTAACAGCTTTTTATCTCATCTTCTCACAAACAGGTTATGGAGTATTCAAATGACCTGAAGCAGTTCTGGAAGAGAAGCTACGGCCATGACATCAACAGCAAGGCAAGTTGCATATTGTTCCACGATGTGTTCAGCCGACTGGACAAGGCAGCAAACGAGATCAAGTAAGCAAACTAGCCAGTTTACCAAGGGAAAATAGGCGTTCTTCTTCGTCCGTGTCTTCTTCTTCATCATCATCTTTGATAAATAAATGTCCTGACTGCCAAGTTGCTAACCGCATTAACTGCTTGTATCAACAACACCTACCTTGTGTCAACAGTACATGTTCCTTTGTTCATAAAATGCACATTCTGTGTACTGTATCATGTGTCGACAACGGTTAACATATGCTATTTATGTCAGATCTGGCCAGCAAGTGACTGAAGCTGTGACAATCCAGATAGGCCACGCAGAGACTCTACTGCCACTGCTTACCCTGCTGGGCTTCTTTAGGGACAGTGAAGCCCTGAAATCAACAAACTTTGCCCAACAGGCCCAGCGTTCTTTCCGTACCAGCTACATGATGCCCTACGCTGCTAACCTGCTTTTGGTGTTGTACGACTGCGGAAATGGTGACCTGAGACTGCAGGCACTCCTCAACGAGAAGCCTGTGGCGTTTCCTGGTTTGACTGACCTGACATCCTCCATGCCACGTTATGAAGATGTCAGAAGTCACTACAGAGAACTTCTCCGGGGCTGTGACTTTGAGACTGAGTGTCAGCTGTTCAACAAACCAGTGGACAGTTAGGCAGACCATGTGGAATTATGTCAATCCTGTGTTATTTGCAAGTGCGAATGTGGATATTGTAAAGGTTTTAACCTCCTGCTTTTAATTCTTACCATGTCCTCAAAATATCACTTCAAGTGCTATGCAACATGAAAGAGTTAATTACCAAATACTACCTTGTGATTTTTTTTAGTAATAGTATTATACACATTATACACAATTTTAATGGTTCTCATGGCTTTAACAAGAGATTCAAGTGTCATATCTACAGATTTATCATTTTAATGCTACACCTGCTCATTTGCGTTGAAGCTCATAGCAGAACACACGATTACAGCAATTAACCTCGGGACATTTGCAATTTATATTTTATTTGGTTTTTATTTGCAGTGGAGGTCTTTATCTAAAAATGAACTGAATGATGTTTCGAGGAAAGCCAAAAAATTGACCTTTCCCTTTTACCCTACAGAATTCCAGAGCTACCACACCAACAAGAAACACGTCAGTCCATTTTAATTGGTCTTTTGATTCAGCAGTATCACCTCACCAGTGTTTTTGCAGCTTTCATTATTTTTGCACGTTTTATTGATTGTAAAATTATGACCTGAAATATATGTTTTTGCAGTGTATTTTGTCTGATGGTGTCATTCTGTCAAATATTTACTCATCACTTTCTGCCTTACCTTATCAAATGCTTTACATCATGTAGAATATTGGGGACTCACATACAAAAGACAAAAGACGTCCTAACCTTTGTCACATTTTATTGGCTGTAGCTGTGGACGTCATATAGGCCTGAGTCATAAGCTAACCATGCTGTTTAAGACGTAAACAGAAGTACGAATGGAATATTCACCTGACTGCTGCTGTGAAGGTGAGTCCAGGTGTCATGTTCATGTACATGTGAAACGAATAAGTCACTAAAAAACTACGTGAGAGGGAGGTAGTAAATGAGCCGGCCATTGTTCAGTAAAATAAAAGCTTTAGAGCAGGACAGGTATTACAGGAGTGAGCGGTGACACTAGATATTGACTAGAGCTGGCTGACGTAAACCAGTAAATCACTAACCCCAGAGCCGGTCGCCTTTGTTAAATGAACAGACAACTGTTTTGTAAACGTTTTGAACAACAATTTTGTTAACCACAGAAATATCCCTGCATGTCTCACGAATGTGAATTTTCTCTACACAGAGCATATATTTGTTTTAAACGACCAAGTGTAATGTTTTTATAAGCTCTGTATAGGCTAATGTTTGTACAATGTGGGCGTTGATAACATAGTGCTGTGGATGTCCCGAAGAACCGGACACATCAAATAACATCACCACCGTTTCACACAATTTACTTTTATTTTAAAATGTTATTTAGTTCTCGTAGCTACATAGCTACATTTATTTTATTTTATTTCTATCATTTTCTGACATTTACCAACATCTGAATTCTTATTAAGTTATATCGTTAATATTTAATGCCAAGTTCGGTCGTTTATAGTGATAGTAACTATTCAGCTTTATTATGGATTAAAACAAATGAAGTAATTAATCTAGACGTTATATTATTGATTGAATTCGACGTGTGTATTCTGCTCCAAATGAAACTTAGTTCTGAGTTCATCAGCCTTGGCTCCATCAGTCCAGTCTGTCAAGCCGGAGCAGGGAAGACTTGTATTCGGCATATTATGCAAATGAACCACGGAGGAGGAGGAAACGGGAGGCCGGGCCAGAGGAATGCTACGTGTCTTGAAAGTCCCCTTTAAAGAGCCGTCGCTTACACTTCGAGTATTGTTGCCTAAAGTTTGGAGACAAGAGCCGTTGCGTGAGACAGGACCATCCGCTCCTTTCAACACTAAGGCCCGTGTCTGTTCACAAGTCTGTCGGCGGATTTTTACGAAATGTCCGGTGTGAAAAAGCTTCGTAAGGTAAGCCGATGTGGAGATAGGGGTGGCAGTGTCATTCAGGGGTGTTAAAAGCACTTGTGGAGTGTAGGTTTACTGTAAAAAATAAATACATTCTTCTGCTGCCGGACCGACGTGTGTCCACTTCGGTGGTTCTGCTCCACTGTATCACAAGGTGCCATGGGAGCCTGCACTGTGAATGGACTGTTTGTCTCAGCTCTGTCTCCACGTCTACTGATTGGACTTACTTAGTCATCGGTCAAAACATAAGTTGCCTTGTGAGATGGGCTGTTTGGGAGGGCGGAGGGAGCAGAGGGAAAGAAGAAGAAGAAGAAGAAGAGGCCAGTGTGAGACACTGGAATGTACTGTTGATTAAAAAAAAGACCCAGCGAACTTGGTTAAAGTCAAGAAAAAGAAGCGAGGAAAATCCGAAATAGGCAAAGGAAACTGAATATTTTAATTACAGGGCTATAAACGTCAGGGGCTGTCTTTACCAACACGAAAATAATAAAATACTTATTTAAAACCAACCAGCTTTAAGGTGGTTAGAGGTCTCATACATGAGTGTTTAGTTTGGATTTGAAAACAGGTCTATTTGTGAGGTAAGGTCACGGGCCCTAAAATTACAGAAATTTCTGACAGGACACTCAAATTATGTCAACTCAATTCACTGCTTTAAAGAAATATTTCATGTTTTAATTACTACTAACGTGGCTCAAAAGCATCACCTACTTCTTTCTCACGCCCTCCCGTATTTTTTTCTGCTCCTTTTACGTCTCCCAGTTATTGTCAACCAGTTATAAATAGATGTCCAATTGGCATTTGTCCACTAAGACACCAAACTGGTTAGACGTGTGTCTTCTTTGTCCCATCAGTGCAAGGATTGCCGTGATGCATTCCGAACGAATGAAGCTGACGTGAGTCCTTTGAATGCCTGTGAACGTGGGTTGGATCTGAGAAGACATTCAGTAGATGTCAGTTCCACCAAGCTTGAGAACAACTGTCAAAAACATGACGATTAAGAATGGGCTTTTTTGTTCTTATTTGTGAAATCAAAATCAACTGGCGTACCCTGCAGACAGTGCTGAAAAGATCAAGAAGTAGTAGAAGATGATTGAATTAACCAATGCTACTGACTAGTAATAATCAAATAACCAACTTTTTTTTTCCAATTCATGTTACTTGAAATTCAAAACTGTTCTATTCTGATATCTGGTTGTTGCTGTACAATAGTAAGCCAATTACACATGGATTTATTCTTGTGTTTAAAACAGTTGTTTTATGGTAATGTATTGTTTCATTTATGCTGTTCAACTTATAAATATTTGACGGATTTTGTCATCCCATTTTTTCCAATCATCAGTGTGACTCAATGTGTCATGGTTTCCTGAGAATTGAGGTCTAACACAATGCGTAGGGCTGTAAGAATGTTTTTAATGCTGCAGCTGAAAGCTCTTGTCTTAGACACAGGTGTATCCAAGAAAAAGACAATGTAACAAAGTTAACAGCAAGCGGGAACTATGGTTATACTATGATTATAATAACACATGAAGAATACAATTTTTTCAGCAGCATATGTTGGTTCAAAAATCGTCTGGCTCTTTCTTCTGAGCACTTCAAATAAACGTCATTCTGTTAAGCAAATGTTGAGTTAACCCAACTATTTACTTTTATGTTCATATTAAAAGAACGTTTCTGCACACCTGCCCTATGTAAATAATAGGTGGATGCATAAAATATAGATCTAGCTGTTCTTCAAATAATAATGTTTGAATTAAAACACGATGTGGTAACTTTTCCCCAGACACACCTTCCAGTGTGACTTGTCAAGAAACTTAACAGTCGCTGCATTGAAATTGAAACGGGAGAAGCTGCCCGATGTATACAGGGAAGGAGTGAGAGTGTGTGCAGGGGGTGAACCTGTGGGCACCAGCACTGCCACATCATCGCTGGGCTGCAGTTCTTACACTGGACACATTGTTTAGTCACTCCTTTCCCTCCCTTCATCCTTTCGATGTCCCCCTTCCCTCCCCGTTTTTTCTCCCCCGGACGTCAATATAGCCCCATTCATTCTAGGCTATACCCACAGAGTCCCTCTCTAGTTGAACACGTAAAAAAATGGTACTGCTGCTTTGGCCAGAAAGGATGTGGATCTGAGGAGACGTTCAGTAGATAGTTTCCTTCAAATATTTGCACTCACACATCACCACAACTGTAACTGTTCAGTTAGCACCGAATGACGGTATTATTGATTACTGTGAACCATCTACAACATGAATGCTTTTATGTTACAGGATCTCGTGAGATCAACCAATGTGGTGTACCAGGCCCACCATGTCAGCCGGAACAAGAGAGGGAAGGTCGTGGGCACAAGGGGGGGCTTCAGAGGCTGCACTATCTGGCTGACTGGTAAAAAAAAAAATTCCTAATTACTAATTTTTCTACAACCCTTGTTTACAGTTGAATGCGTCCTGCCTAACACGTTACACCACAGTTCTGAAAGTCTGGATGTCTGTTTTCCCAAAGGTTTGTCTGGTGCTGGGAAGACCACCATTAGTTTTGCTCTGGAAGAATATCTCGTGTCCAACGGAATTCCGTGCTATTCGCTGGATGGGGACAACATTCGCCACGGCCTGAACAAGAATCTGGGCTTCACTGACGCCGACCGCGAAGAAAACATCCGTCGCGTTGCTGAGGTGGCCAGACTGTTCGCAGACGCTGGGCTTGTCTGCATCACCAGCTTTATTTCTCCATTTACCAAGGTCAGAATACAGTGTCAGTGCAAGTTGTTCACTTCATAACATAATTGCTAAGAAATTATTTAAAAAAGACAAACACTCTAATTGGTTGAGGATGTCTGTAACAGATCCTTGTCTGTTTAAATTCAAAACTTTATTTTTCACAGGATCGTGATGAAGCCAGAAGAATCCACGTCAACGCAGGGCTTCCCTTCTTTGAGGTTTTTATCCACGCGCCGCTTGACGTGTGCGAGGCCAGGGATGTGAAAGGACTCTACAAGAAGGCTCGCGCTGGAGAAATTAAAGGTCCTACACTTCAACTGTTGTGAATTACAGAAATCATAGACGACATTTATGCCGAACAAATACGTCTCTTCATGCTGCAGTTTTGTTGTAATGACATGTGAAGTAAAACCTAATATCAATGTTTTTGAACTTTTATATTTTTTTTAAATGTCTTTTCAGGTTTCACCGGAATTGATTCAAACTACGAGCGTCCCGAGGCACCAGAGCTGGTACTGAAAACCGGAGAGCTCTCAGTGAATGAATGCCTCAACCAGGTGTTGGAGCTGCTCACAGAGCAGGTGGGTGTGACAGGTATCTTCTTGGTGGGTTTTGATGATAGAGACATTAAGACACAGCTTCAACGGTGACGGCTGTTTGTTCATTTGTTCACAAACAATTCATGTTTCCAGACAAGATAATACTGTGAGTCTGTGTGCACATCAAACAGCCATTGTCAAGATAAGAATATTGGACTGTGTAAAAAGTGAAGGATGGGCTGTCTTTGCTGACGTCCCTCAAGTCAAACAGTGGCTGGGATCAAACATTAATGATCCGTAAACTACACTGAGTCGGAGAGGAACTTTTTTTTAATTTTATTATGCGCTGAAAATCAAAGCATCTCTCTTAAGGAATGTTAATTATGTATTCATCATGAACAAATATTTAAATAACAAATATGTGCTTTATTGCATTTTTAGTATTGCACTGGGTTACAGGCGGGATGGGATGTGGGTTAATACCAGCGTAAAACTGGCATCATGTTAACCACTGATGCTCTTTGAACCTGCTGAAGTTTTAGGACGCCAGACTGGAAAATTACTGACAGGCACAAAAAAGTAGTAGTAGTATTACTATGTCACCGTCCAACTACTTTTCATTAATCCAAATCAGTAGCAACTTTTCCACTTCTGAGCTCTTTGCTTGGTGATAACAGTCACTCCTTTGAACTTTAGCTTCTTTTATTGCTTCCTTGTTATCAATGATGGTACAAATCAACGACTTTGCTAGGCCATACCGTAAGGCTAGATCTGAAACACGTATAATCATTCTTCAAATTTTATTGTTCTTCTCACTATTTTTCTTTCCACCTTTCCAAATAGCAGCAAAATCAGACAAACACTTCTTGGCGTGTATTAGCCTCTGTCTTGGAAAGATTCCAAGGCGTTGCGTAATTGTCACATGTCTTCAGTTTATGACAAGCTGTTTGTAATTTCCCACAGAACGTGAACTTGTGGTTCAAGTTGAAAAGTGAAATGTTTGTGTGTCATGTAGGTCATTTCACCTACTCTAAAGACCAGAATTCAGTTAGAGCTGATATATTATAATTATAACAGTATCAAAAAGGGGCTTGGAGTTTGTTTTGTTTTTTTTACCAGAAAGTTCTGGTCTCTGTATATTCCCACAGGTTGGGTACAAATCTATCTACAACATTATAGCTAAACATTAAAACCTAATATATAAGATAATTTTCTGAGTCAAATCAATGATATTGTGCGGTTGGATGGACATGACATCATGCTGGCTTTTCTGTGTGATGGAGACTGTGATGGAGCGTTGTTTTCTTCTTCGAAAGAATCACTTTTAAATCACAACAATTCTTGCCTTTTTCTTCTCGCACACAGAATATTGTACCGAACGAAGTCATGGACGACGTGAATGACCTCTTTGTTCCGGAGAATAAGCTGGATCTTGCCGCGGCTGAAGCAAACACGCTTCCCACCATCAGCATCACCAAGGTAACCCACCACTTCAGTGTAGCGGTATGATGTTTGCAATGCCTGTCTGTCCTTCTCACCATAACCATTAAATCGTGTTTCGGTTATGGTCAATATTCGCTACGAGAACTTTCGTAGGTCAACTGGGTGTTAAATCATCAAAAGATAAACACATATTCTGTGTCTGTGGGGAATACATTTCTGTCTCTTTAACCAGGTGTTCGCAAACTGTCCCATGTCAACGCCCCCCCAGCATTAGCATTAGCTTCTGGCCAGGGACCCCCCTTTGTCACTATTCAGCAATTATTACATTTGTTAAGCATAAGAAAATCCTTACCAAACATGTTTTCAGTATATTATAGTCTATTTTTTGCGCAAGCTAGCTGGACGCTATCTTGAGGAGTGGAGCAGCTTTATAACAGGGGCAAACTGTCAGGTCTACACAGATTATGATGTTATGCTGAAGTCGCAACTGTCGACAGTTGGCAATTCAAACTTGAGAATCAGATGATTACGTAATACTAATAATACCTAATAATACCTAAAATCATAGTTTTATACTAATTGATGCTTATTGAAAATTTGCTGATAAAGATCCCTGATCATATCTAAAGTCCTAACAAGTAATTGTATATCCTAATGTGGTTGTCCTCTTTTACCCCTGCTTTTCCTGCCAATGGAAACAAATAAGGTTCCTCCCCTTGGAATGTGCATGTTCATATTAATCTCCTGATTTGTTTTCCTCTCAGACAGCGAATAGTCAACTGTTGAGATCTTACAACATTTCTTTGAGGTCTAGTCGGGAAACAAAATAATTGCGTTTCCTGCCGAAACTGCAGTTTAAGCATAAAAAATATTGCAAAGCTTAAAAAGTGTGACTCAGATTTACAGGAAAAGAATGATGAATACATAAATACTTAAATTTGTCAAACAGCTATTTGGAATTGACATAGAAAAACTTAATCCAGAAATCTCAATATGACACATTATAAAGACATATTCATGTCTCTGGCGGTGGTTAACAACAGGGTTGGCCTACCCTGGACATGGCAGTTTAACTTCAACTCCATATAACAGTTAGCTCGTATGCTAGCAGCTTTTAATGGAACCTTTGGCAATTTAAAGATAGAATAAACAAAAATATTTATCACTTGGTTCCAAACAACATTGTGGTAAATAATTAAAGGTGTGTCTTTAACAAAAGGCATATGTTAACTGTAAAAAGAAAATAGAACTAAACTATTACAATTTCTAGTTCAATATATACAGTAATGTACAAAAATACATATATATGTATATGTGTATGCAGGAGGGCAAATGTGTGTGAGTGTTTCATGACTCTCCTGGATTCTTAGTCCTGTGCATACATTGCTCTTCATCTGTGTACACAGTGCATTACCATCTCCCACTCCCAGAGTAAATTTCAAAAAAGATAGGATTGGCTGTCGTCGTCTCAGTGTTGGTAATTAGTTGTTATCCTTTGTTTACAGTTGGACTTACAGTGGGTGCAGGTCCTGTCAGAGGGCTGGGCCAGCCCGCTGAAGGGCTTCATGAGGGAGCGAGAGTTCCTCCAGGTCCTACACTTTGGAAGCCTGCTGGACGGTAAGATAACTGCCTGGTCAGGTGTGCTTCACACCTGGGACCGGTGACGCAGACGCTACTAAGTACTGCACGACTGGTTTAACCTCTCTGCATCCTGGTTACATCGTCTGTAGCAGCCTGAGATCAGATTTGCTTTTACCCTCCCATTGATCAAATACACACAGATATTAGGTGTGTTTGCAGGTACAAAATAATGATTTTAATGACTGCCAGTGTGAGAAGGCTGAGCAATGGATCTATGTCCGACTGATCGATGAAAGGAAAAACATTACATGCTGATAAAGATTCTCAGAATTCTTGTGAAAATATTGTATCAATACAGGTTGGGAAAATACAGGCTGTTTTGTTTTTCCACCCAGGTGGTGCCATCAACATGTCTATTCCCATCGTGCTGCCTGTCAACAGTGAGGTCAAACAGGAACTGGACGGCTCTGCAGCCGTAGCTCTGGAATATCAGGGCAAACGAGTGGCTATTCTCAGGAACCCAGAGTTTTATGTGAACCGCAAGGAAGAACGCTGTGCCAGACAGTGGGGAACCACGTGTCCACTGCACCCTTACATCAAGGTCAGTCGGTAAATCACCTCTGCGCACACTTGTGGTTACTGGCAACATGTCAGTGTGTTCCTTCACTGTGTCACAAATGAGCGCCATCTTATCTATCATCGGTCTGTTGATGAGATAACAGACCTGTAAAAGGAATTCCAAGAAATGTATTACCGTAATACACTTAAAATGGACTGGCAAGACTACAAAGAAATCTGTAACGTGTCATATTTTCTTGTGCAGATGGTTATGGAAGGAGGTGATTGGCTTGTGGGCGGAGACCTGGAGGTGCTGGAGCAAATCAAATGGAATGATGGGCTCGACCAGTATCGCCTTACGCCACAGGAGCTCAAGCAGAAGTTCAAAGATATGGAAGCAGGTTAGAAAATAGCGCCGCATGACAACGTATTTATATGTATACTGGTTTATTAATCAGATGTTTTTGTTTCCTATAATATGCCCGCTGTAACAGAAAGACAGAAAGGAAACCGACTGTTTAGCAATTAAACTTTTTTCTTTCAGAGGAACTTGACCAAAGGCCAGGTGAAAAACAATGGTAAATTTGAAGCTGCATGTCATTAACTAAATTCAACAGACATGTTCTGGTGTGAATGCAGTTCCTTATATCTTGGCACTTGTAAATCTGCACAAAAGAAGTCCCACCTTGCTGTTCTTGTTCCATGGTGAATTTGTTTTAACCTGAGAGCTTAAAGCTGCTTCCAGTAGGGAATTTTCAGTTAAGGTGTGTTGAGATCACATGTCCGATGTCACAGATCTAAGGTGGCGTTAACCACTCTCAGTTTAACTGTGTGACAATAGTTAAACTGAAAGGCATGATGAGCATGTTTGCTGTGAAAATACTTTTTCTTGTTTGTTCTGCTCAAACTCCACCGCTCACATTCTACACAGACTTCTTTTTAAAACACTTTCCCCTCCTCATGTTATTCTCCACAGATGCCATATTCGCATTCCAGTTGCGTAACCCGGTCCACAATGGACACGCCCTCCTGATGCAGGACACTAAGCGCCGTCTGCTCGAGAGAGGCTACAAGAACCCGGTACTCTTGCTGCACCCGCTGGGAGGCTGGACCAAAGATGATGACGTGCCTCTGGAATGGAGGATGAAGCAGCACGCCGCTGTCCTCGAGGAGGGCGTTCTGGACCCAGCTAACACTATTGTTGCTATCTTCCCCTCGCCCATGATGTACGCCGGACCCACAGAGGTGAGACACTTTCACTGTTATTTTAGTCAGTGATTCTTAAGTGTACTGTTGGTTCAGTATCCGTTCTGGGTTATTTGAACCAAATCAAACATCACTTGTGTTTGAAAACAAAAAAATTCAAAGCCAGACCTGTGTGCTGACTTTGAGTCGACGTGACTGACTATCAAACAACGTCTTCCTCTACCTCAACAGGTGCAATGGCACTGTCGAGCCAGAATGATCGCTGGGGCCAACTTCTACATCGTCGGCAGGGACCCCGCCGGCATGCCTCACCCTGAGACCAAACAGGACCTGTATGAGCCCACCCATGGAAGCAAGGTGCTCACCATGGCCCCTGGACTCACCTCTGTTGAGATCATCCCCTTCAGAGTAGCAGCCTACAACAAGACTAAGAGGGCTATGGACTTTTATGACAAAGAAAGGTGAGCGTCAATACGTTCTCGAGTTCTGGAGATAAGAATGTAAGACGTTGGTCACCTTGCACAACAGAACATTTAATATTTATGGCACTTGCTGTCACTCTACCGTCACACAGTTGATACACAGTTGTTTTTTTTTTTCTTCACATGTTGCGCAACGTCATAAAGCAGAGATTTAAATTGCACTTATATATATTTTACTTGACATTTGTCATCATTAATAACTCCATCATTTGAGTCTATCACATAGTGATAGACTCAGACACCACACAAGGTGTCTGTGTCTTTTTGTTCCAGCAATAATCTGGAATAAAAAAAACATTTTTTGACATTTATCTAGACAAACTACGGCCCAGGGACTGGATACAGCCCGTTTAGCTTTTTAATTTGGCCTGCCAAACATGTTCAAATTATGTTATTCATTAATAGTAACGTTATACTTCTGTCTTTTCTATGTAATGCTCACATTTCCCCAATAGATGGCGTAAAAAAGGCCTTTTAGCATAAAAGCTTTTAGCATTTTAGCCTTTATGCTTATGCTCTTAGTATCTGCTCCTGATCCGGCCCTCCTGTCAAATTTTAGAATAATTTGTGGCCCATGGGTCGAACCATTAGCCCCCGTGCCGGATCTAGATGAATCACGATACAAACAATCATGATTAATTCTGATTATTCAGATTGGAAATATTTATGGTGCAACAGCCCTGACTGTATTGCGTGGAGACCGTGCCAGACTTCTCATGACCATTCTTGCCCTCTCTTAGAAATGCTGAGTTCGAGTTCATCTCTGGAACCAAGATGAGGAACTTGGCCCGCAGTGGAGAGAATCCTCCTGATGGTTTCATGGCCCCCAAGGCCTGGAAGGTGCTGGTTGAATACTACAGCTCTCTTCAGAAGCAGAAGTAAACAGTCATCAGACTGTCAGTCCACTTTACTGAAATTTTATGTGGTTAGTTTTTAATAGGGTGTAAAATTTCTCACTTACAGTGGTGAAGTTAGTTGCTATATTTAAGAGGTCGGTTCTGTCTGGGCGGGGGGGGGTTTAGTTATGCAATTTTTTTTTACTCTGCTTTCAAACTGTAAATGTAATTTATAACCTCCCGGTATGTTGATATGCTTATTAACTTAAAAAACGGTATTTTGATAAATGAATGTTTCCTCAAGATGTTTTATCTGTCGACATTGAAAAATAATCCCACAAAAGGGATCATATTTACATGAAGAATCCCTGTCGGGCGATCTTTGGTTAACACTACCTACAGTGCCTGTTGGTTTCACATACATAGGTATATTTAATTATCATGCGATGAATGTCATCGCGAAACACAACAATGAATCATTTTAAAAATAAGAAGAATGTGAAAGTGCCTTTCTCTGATGTATCATCATTTCTGTGAAAAAAAATATTTAAAGAAAAATACCTGAAAATGTATTCTGGAAAGGCCTTCTGTGTTTGTATGTTGTTTTAAAATGGGCATATGCATTATTGTACTGAAGACATATCGAAAATTAAAATACATATGGTACAGTGTAATTTTTGTTGTCTTCGTGGTTTTAAGATAGGACTTTATTCATCCCACACGGGGGAAATCTGGTATATTCAGTTTTGGCTGATAATAAGCTCTGTTTACCGTAAAAGGTGAGTGACCGAAGTGGTCTTCTCTGTTCCATGATTTCTCCTGGTTTTATCTTTGTGCTACTGATTATACAACACAGTCTTTGTCTGTACAGGGTGCACAGTAAACATACTTTAGATTAAAGGTTGCAAGTGCAGCGTAACGTTCGAGAGCTGCAGTGAAAAGTACAATGCTTCCCCCTGCTGGCGTATTGGCGGTGTAACAACTAACTATCCACTCGTACCTCTTCTGTTACAGTACTTCAATCATATTTAGGGTATTTAAGTATTTATATATTATTCGGTATTTAACGTGGATTATTTACCTAATAGCATGGTCTGGACATAAAGAGAACATATAAACCCTGAATACCTAAACTACTTAAGAACGTGTTTTAGTCGATGTACACTAAGGTAGCTAAGAACTTGGTTAGAACCAATTTTGACAGAAACCTCAGGACCCAGTATCCCTCGCCTCTATGTCCATCTTGTGATGTTGCTGTAGGATCTGTAAGTGGTAAAAACGGAGTCTTGTACCTCGATTTTATTATATAGCATGTTTATCAATATAGCTAAAAGCTAATAAATAATCTGCTTTAGGCACACAACCACTGATTTGACCATGCCGACAAAAAACAAACAAACAAAACCCCCCATTATACTAGAATTGATGTGACTTTTTGCAAAACCTCTGTATAGCTCTGTACAGCTTAAACTGCGCCTCCTGGGGACAACAAAAAGTGGCACATTTTGTAGTTCCGTGTGTTGTTCTCAGACTAGTGATCACTTCCCTTTCAAAAATAAGAGTCCTCAAGACAAGCAAATACAAATGAAAGTCTACGCACTGTTTTTCAGGTGTCTTTACACACATAGATTAAGGATGACAATGAAAAGTTAATAAGTGAAGTGTGGGCGTACGATGAATATTGGTATTTTAAAAACCACGAATCCTCCAAAAAATGATTTATTTTTTAACTAAAGGGTGATACATGCCACTTCCTGTTAACGTACCCCAAAAATTATTTATTTTTCAACTTAAAAGTGATACATGCCACTTCCTGTTAACGTAATGGTGTTTTCGTGTTCTGCAGTGAGAGGGAGCCTCCTGGTGGTAAAAGAAATATACCACTTCTGCCAGGTAATTGGCATGTCGAATTATCTTTCTTTTACAAGTCCACCAATTTCTCTTGGCCATTGCTCCTCATTTTCGTGAAATTATGTTATTTCCTTCTGGGTGATGACCTCAGCATTCTCACTAGAACATTTAAAAGTTTAGAAATCCCATAGCCAATGTCATCACTGTGTTCTGCAAAATAATAAGGTTGCTTAAGTGCGTTTTTACTTCACTGAAATGACATTATTTTTGAGACACTTTGGTAATGAAACACATTTTCAGACTGTGTTCTTTAGTACTGAAATAACCGGTGTTAACATGCACTAACAAAAGAATAAATCAAAAGCTTAAATCATTTTTACACATACTGTATCTTCATTTAGGAACTGATAGTGTTATAAGGGTGGCACCACTCTACAGTGTCGTGCAATAGTGTGTGTGTGTGTGTGTGTGAGATCAACCCAAACCACAGTGAGGAAACCAATATTCACAGCCATTTTTTTTTCCTTTTCATTGGCTATTTTAATCAAAATAAAAAACAACAATTTGGTATTTAAAAAAAGTCATAAGAACGCATACTGTCATCAAATTAGCCAATGTAGCATGTAGACATAGCTGCTACTTCCTTTCCTTTGCTGCCAGTTCATCTCTTTTAATTAAATTGTCACACATTATAAAAATGATTCATTATTGTGATTAATCTACACACAGCCGATGATTATTAATCATAGTATTACAATTTTTAGATTGTTCAATTGCCTTAGTAAAGAGATATTTTGTAAGACTACTGCTACAAATATTACTAAAGTAATTGTAATAGGGTTTTATTCTACGGTGCTGTACGTCATACACATCGAAACCTGCGTGACATTGTTTAATTCAGTCACACGTTTTTATAGATGCCTCTTTGTCAATAATACTGCCATCAGCCATAGTGCAATTAACGGCGTCGCTGTCCTTCAGGCATCATTTTAACCGTGTATATTTCCCCTAGTGAGTGTAATAAATGCACGGTCCATTGGTAAACGGTGCGTATACTCTGTGAAATGACATTATAAACCCTGAGAAGTGACATGATGTTTGAAACTTCCCTAATTACATTCACACGTGATCACTTTGACAGAAGGGAGCGTCACGAGCGAGTCCCTTTATCCTTCCGCCAGATGCACGAAACCGCTCGTTTTTGCACTTTACAGACAACAGAGCTCTACCAAATATATGGGTAAATTGTTTTTTTTCTAAGTCCAATTTAATATGTCACATATATCATATTAAACCGATGAGACGTGTTCTTGTATTCTTAATTACTAGTTCGGACTAATTCGCTTGAGTGCGGAGTGATATTCGATGTAAAATCCCAGCCAGCTCTACCTTCTTTTTTCCCCTCGGTGGAGGCCATGATGGGAGCCTAAGACTTCAGCTGGAGCAACAGCGGCCAAAAAAAGAAGATGATTCCTTGGGACCGAGCTGTCAAACCGACCTCCTTGGCTTCTTGAGCATTGTATACTCTCTATACATTTAAGGTGGAGACTGTCACTCTATTTTCCAATGTGTTCTCGGCGGTTGGTCGATGACGATGTTGAATCGTTAGGAGGTTTTGGCGTAAAAAAGGAGGTAGCGTTAGCCATTGTTGCTAGCTGCTAGGCTAGCGAGCTAACCTGGTCTGGAGACCAGTGTCAGGACCCGGTGTGTCTTCACTCCCTTTCGCTGCTGCCGCTGCTGACACAGAGTCATCGGCTTGGATCGTGTTTCACGTCTACATGGTTTACCCGAGGCTTGCTGCATGTATTTAATTCGGGCGTATTTGCAAGACGAATTACGGGATTTGGAAAGTCGGGCCTGTGTGGAGGAGCAGAGCAAGGCCCGTCTTTATGATCCAGAGGAAGCCTGTCTAATCCGACCCTCGGCCAGCACTGCTTCTGCGGGCTAGCACGTCTTTGAAAGGAGGAGCTGCAAAACTTCAACGAGCAGACAGCCATTATCGAAGGCGACGAATACGACCATACAGCCATTAATAGGAAAAACGTGTTTTCATCATTTAACCCCATATAGACTCCAGTCACCTGCTACGATGGCTGCGATTATAAAAGAAATGGTCAGCCGGAACAAAAGGAGATATCAAGAGGACGGCTTCGACTTGGACTTAACATGTATCCTTTCGTTAGTCTTGTTTATTTTCACGGCTGTCCCTGGACCGGGGCTCGACACTGATTGTTTTAATGAATGGGACGATTTGGAAGCAGAGATGTGAGAATGTATTAGCTCCTGCAGCTGCTACTTAGCTCGCAGGCTAACGGCTCCTACAGTTGAGCGCAGCTCTGCTGTCACCCAGCGTGTTTGAAAGATGGTGGATCTGTCAAAGCGGCACGCACGAATGTCAGGCATAAAAGAGCTGCAGAGCATCGTCCAACCCCTGCACGATGTGCAGAAATGCAGTGCACTAAGTCCAGAGGTGTTACAACAGGTCTACCTTTCTTTATTTTAATCAAAATGAGGTGGACACCTATATGGGTTTTTAAAAGTTTTCCCCTCGTTGCAGGTCGTTGTACGGTCAAGAGTGTGGATTTAGCTAACTTCATATCACCTATACTCCTTTGTATTTAAATGATAAAAGTAGGTTGGTGGAAAAAAGCATATTGTGGTTAAATAGCGTTCGGTTGATGTCCACAAATACAGGGGAACGTACAGCTGCAATTTAAACAAAAAATGCAAGTGTCTACGATAATTTAGAAACATTACTCAGTAATCTTCATCCATCTCGATTTTGAAAGATAAAAAAATCTGAGATTAGTGTGCAACATTTAAAGCATTTGCAGGATTATCTGGTTGTCAGTCATTTCACACAATGCATTTTTAAAATGGCTATACACTTTGATCACGTCTAGTCAGTTTATATATATATATATCTTTAAAAATCATGTGTGTTCCGATTTTCAATTGGTACTTGAGTTATGGTGTTTTACATGTTAGGGATGGTAAAATTATTGATATAATACATTTCCATTTTGATTAAATACAGAAACAGAAACATAAGTTGCAATTTTAGGCACATTTCCATTTTGATTAAAAACAGAAACATAAGTTGCAATTTTAGGTCCTTTTAAAGTAAAAGTAATGGCCGTCACAGGAGAAAGAATTGAGCTCACGAGATACTGCAATGCTGATCGAACTAATGTAAGGAAAAAACAATGGCATTAGAGGTTCCAAATATTCTTTGACTGATGTATGGAGACATAAATCCCACCATGCATGAAAGCTACGAACTCTGATTATTTACATCACCAATTGCAAAATGTTCTTTTATTTCTAAGGAAGTTGGTGTTTGTACTCTTTAGCACTTAATAACATAATTAAATAATTATTATTCAACTGGTTGATTCACGGGTTCCTTAGCTAATTAAAAAACCCAAATCAAATTTATTTTTGCCACACATCATATCATCGCCTGCTGATAATTGATAATTGTACCTGTTGGGCTCCAAGTAAAGGAGATCAAGGCTGATATGGTAGACCACAGGCCTCTAATTAGAAGCTCTTGATTCGTTACAGAGTCTGTGGCCAATCGAAATGGATTGATGCTTCATTTTTTTTTCTTTTTTTTTGGTCAGGATGTTAAACCACAATTTTGGTTTCACCACTGTGTCATAATTCTGGAGTCAGTGTGGAAACAAGTAAAACAGCAAGAAGTCAGTGTTGAAACGAGCGACCTGTCAGTTGACTTGTCTGATCATTTGTTTGCTTTTTAATGCTATTGTTGTAGCATTGTAACTATGATGGAATGGGTTTCCTTGTCTTTAGGACATATTTGGAATTGTTCAGTACTTGGAATTTTGGCTAGTCAAAACGGAAGCATTCTGAAAACCTTTGCATGGGTAACTTGTGCGATATGATAAGGGAACCACTGGAGATTTGTGGCGTGTTCGGCATGGCACGCAACAGTCAAAGGATTTGCTTTGGTTTTTATCGGCGGCGTGACGTTGATAACAAGCTGGCATTCTGGTTTCTTCTCGAGACTGAATATTTAAATGTCAAAAATCAGACCTGAGATCTGTGATGCAAGTGAGACCACAGAAGCTAAAGTTTGCACATCAAACGCCTTGATCACGCCTCTGGGCTCGGTGTTGTGGTTAACGCTTGTGTCACATCTGTGATTCTCTGGTGTGCGCGTGTGAAAGAAGGTCACTCTACTCACCAGTGAGTGCCTTCCGTCTTTGACTCGAGCTCTTGCCTCGGTCAGGTGTGGATCTCTTTTACTAAAATTGCTTTTGGCACAGTCTCCTAAAACAATATGGACTCTGTTGTTATGTAATGCAGCATCACAGTTCTGGGAATTGCCCTTAAAATAGAGTTGCTAGTAATCTTGTATCAGTGTTGCTGTTTAAGTGCCTTCTCTCTCTCTCTCTCCACCCCTCCCTGCCTCCCTCTCTCTCTCTCTCTCTCTCAGCCCACCTCTTCAGTTTTCTTTTTCTTTACTACACCCACTCCAATTCTCCCTCCCATCCTATGCTTGCCCCCTTTTCACTGCTCTCCTCCTTTCCTGTCTTCCCCACCCCCTCCTCACTCAACATGTCAAGGTTCCCACTCTCCCTTTTCCTCCCTCGCTCCCATTCCCAGTTTTGGATCTGGCATATGCCTAGAGCTCAGGCAGGGTAGGCTTTATAGAAAAGGCGTGTCTAAATCAGCAGATTTTTTTTTTTTTTTTTTCCAACCCTCCTACCCCCCAACCCTTCATTTTGGAGCTTCCGTCGGGGGTCCCACATGTGCATTTCCTTCCAGCTGCAGAGATCAGGCCCCGCTGTGCTCTGCGCTGAGGTTCTCCTGGGAACTCTGGAGCTTTTTAAAAACACTTAGAAATAGTCGGACTGGGATCACATTGCCAGCAGGTCCAAGGGTTAGCGTAGGCCATTACATTACACAGAAACGCTGTGTCGCACTGTAAATTAGGTCTTTGATGTTCCAGTCGAAGGTTAAGTTATGGCACAGCGTGTATAAATAGGAGCCTTGTGGTATAAAAATAAATTCCATATAGTTACCGTTGGCCTTGTTGCATTTATGCATCAGGTCCTGTCTTTTCAGTGGCATGAAAATGGTTTTAAGGCTCTTATGGATTCCTACGGCGTAGATTTACCGGAGCTCATCATCCCACATTTGAAACTGCATTAGCTCTTATGCAAGCAAACGCTCGCCGTGCTCCCGCCCTCACTCACCGGAGTTGTCAGATGCGTGTGTCAAATTGTTCTGACCAGTTAGGAAGTGATTTGACTCTGGAAAGAGCAAATAGGATCTGAACAAAAAGAAGCTGAAAAATACACTTGGGAACCTGGGTTTTTCAGCACCATGGCACAGTAAGAGGCAGAAAAGGTTTTTCTTTGTTATGGGTTCCAGTGTAAATTCAGTTTATGGTGATGGGCAGATTTGGCATTAGGTATGTTGATCTATTCAGATGAGTCAATGTGTTTCTAAATACCTGCTGATTGACCATTTGACCACAGGATGATCTAGGAGACCTGTTAATGCACAGTGAAGAAAAACTGGTAGTACGTGTCAAAGGTCATGTAAAGTAATCATCTCCACGCTGTGCTAGTACTGTAACATTACGTGTGGTGTGGGTGGAGGTAACCATATTTTTAAACATTTGTAAATGCATATTATTTTATTCACGCCTTTCCTTTTTTGGCTGCAGCCAATCTCCCGTATATTCAAATCGGTTCTGGCTGAGCTCGAAAGAGAGATAAGCTGAACAGTTGAGATCATCCCAATATAACTCTGGGTGCTAAAAATACATCCGGGTCAGGGAGCGGAGACTCTCCTTGTGTGTGTGTGTGTGTGTGCGTGTGCGCGCACATGTGGGCCTGCTCACTCGCGCTCGTCCTCTCTGCTCGCTTCTCACTGCCTAGGCCATCTGGTACTAAACACACACACACACACACCATCATCATCACACATACGTGTGTATCTGTCACACCGTCGTATTGACAGTGAGTAGTACTTCTCTGTATCTGTGAGGTACTGTGATTCCGTTCACCAACACATGAGCAGAAATATTAACGCTGGTTATTTATAGGAGCTGTGTAGGACGCTAAAGGTCACTCCTGTGATACAACAATGACCGTCAGATGTGCTACTGCAATTTAGAGCCTTTATTATAACATGCTGCCATAAACTGTTACACATGGTGCCCTCTGTTTGGAGGAAGCTTGATTTCCCTGTGCACTTCTCCTTGACCCCCGGTGCCTGAACAGATATCTACCCAAACATCATTGCTATGGGCTTTCCAGCAGAGAGACTTGAAGGCGTGTACAGAAACAATATAGATGATGTAGTACGGTGAGTTGTCCAGCCTCCGCCCTCTGACTGTAGTAAAATGGACAACGGCTAATAACCTTTGATTTATTTTATTTTTTTATTTTTTTACAGGTTTTTGGATTCAAAGCATAAAAACCATTACAAAATTTACAACCTGTAAGTGCGGCACACACCGTTCACACCAGAACTGCTCATTGTTTACCCCACTTCCCTTAACTTGAATTTAATCACTAAATGCGTTTCTGTTCTTCCTTTTTCAGCTGCGCAGAAAGACACTACGATGCTGCCAAATTTAACTGCAGAGGTAGGTTTCTTTCTTTGTCCTGTAAACTCAAAACTCTCAAATTTCCAATTTTTTTTTTTTAAAACGAACATCTTGGTGACGCACAAATCTGATCACACAATCCGCTCTACGCATCAGTTGCACAGTATCCCTTCGAAGACCACAACCCTCCTCAGCTGGAGCTCATCAAGCCGTTTTGTGAAGACCTGGACCAGTGGCTCAGTGAAGACGACAATCATGTGGCGGCCATCCACTGTAAGGCGGGGAAGGGCCGAACAGGAGTCATGATCTGCGCCTATCTCCTCCATCGCCGCAAATTCATGGAGGCCCAAGAAGCACTTGATTTCTACGGTGAAGTCAGGACAAGGGACAAGAAGGTAGGGTCCGGACGACCGGTTCGGAGCTGCAGCTCCTTGTGAAACCAGATTACCGAGGCGTAGTGTTGTATAGCAGGAACTGTTGTGTTTATAGCTGTTTTTTACCACGGTTAAAATTTCAGTAAGAAAATGCATGAATTGGTCTAGACTTCCTTGTCATTCCTCTGTCTGATGTCTGCTTTTAGCAGTGTTTATAATTCAAAAGGCAAAGGTAACATATATATTTTTTACAGCCTGCACCCTCAACCAAAAGAACGACTTGAGTTTCATAGCAATATTTTTTTACTTTCATAAGTCAGTTTTCAGGTCTAGACTCTAACATTATTATTATTATTATTATTATAAAACAGTAGTAATGATATTCACAGTAATAGGCCAATATTTAGGCAAATGGTTATTGGTACAGTTGTGTTGCCCTGTTGTTGTTACTGATTGGATAACAGCCTCATTACATAATTGTTCCGTTTGTTTGCACATTCAGAAAATTTCTAGTGATTGTCTCTTTTAGCTGCAAGTTGTGTTCTTAACGTTTCAACCCACGTAGACACCAGGTGACGTTCTCTCAGGGCCTTCATCATCATCATCGTCTTTTCTTTTTTTTTCATCGTTGCAGGGAGTAACGATCCCGAGCCAGCGCCGTTACGTCTACTACTACAGCCACCTACTGAAGCAACAGCTAGAGTACAAGCCGGTGGCGCTCCTCTTCCACAAAATGGTGTTCGAAACCCTCCCTATGTTCAGCGGGGGCACCTGCAGTGAGTCACACTCATGTACAACTTTCCCTCCACACCGCGGCGTAGGCAGGCAGGCAGGCATGCATGGATGTGCTGTGCATTGAAAAGCTTCACCCACGCTAGCTTAGCCAGGGTTTAACATTCAGCTGCGGCTGAGTTCGAACTGCACTCTTTGAACTTTAGAGACCAGCGCTGCATCTCGAAGTGATCACCTTCACACACAGTTGAATTTCAGCGTCACGTAAAAAAAAAAAAAAGAAATGCTCTCTAGACAAAGGTGCTATTCACATCAAACGGTTAGAAGCGAAAAAAGGAAAGTATTTGATGAATCATTTTTAATCAAATTCCTCTTAAGGTTTAGCTAGGTGATTGAACTCTTGATGGCTGGAAAGTGCTAGCGTTAAAAATTTAAATGTCTTGTAACATACTGTTACATTAATTATTATCAAAAAAATGTTGGCGTTTGAATTTAATTAGGTGATGTTGCAAAATGAATAACAACTGACACAGTTTCAGTTTCTATTCAAAAATATCCTTTCAAAGAGTATTAGTTTTTTAGTCATCACATTTTTAATTTTTACACAGAAAAAGAATCGCTAGTACTTGAAAAAGTGATGTAAAAAATCAATAAAAAAATGGCCAAACATTTTTTATATTGAATTATTTAATCTTAAATTTTAGGTCAGTAGATGCTTACTATTTTCCTTCTCTTAAAAATGAATTTCATTTATTTTCATGTACAGTATAGAATCAGATTTCTCGCAGAAGTCTCACACACTTGCTTAATTTACATACCGTCTGACAGGTTTAAACAGAAAACCACCAAATGACATAATTCGCGTTGCTCACAGTACAGTTTTTCACAATAGCACCATCAAAGAGTGACGGTAGCAGGGTACGTACGAGGTGTCACATCATTGCGGCATGGTGTGTTATTCAAACGTCAAGTCATCGGCATAACCGTTGACTTTTATCAACAGCATAAAAATGTCCCTAAAATTAGACATGTCAAAGACGTTGAGTTGAGTAAAAACTAAAAGTAAAAACTATTCAAAAATGACACAAAGCTGTTCAAAAATAAAAGTAAAAACTATTCAAAAATGACATCTTTTAATTATTTAATTTAATTGTACTGCATCGATGTTTGAGTCACACAATGTCTTGCCTTTCTGGTGTGTGAATTTGTCCATTTAACTGTTGGTCAGCTATATAGAGGATACACGTCTGTCGCTCTTGGTTCATTTCCCTGATTTTCTTTTTTTTTTTTTTCCTATTCTAACACTTGATTCTACTGAGCAACTCTCACTGTATTTATTCTTGCATTTCCTCCTAACACTTCCTTTTTTTAATTAAAAAAAAAAGGCCCTATTCTGAGGTTGACGTCTTATTACACAAACAGACACGCACGCACACACACACTCTGTCCCTGTTTAGCCCGTCATCAAAATTTCAAGCTTCCCCTTCCTTCCACCCTCCTTTTTATTCATCTCACACCGCAGCTCCGTTTTTAAAGACCGCACACTGTATTGATGTATGTAAGAGAAGTTATGTGGATGCAAAACATCGGTAAATATTTGTGTAGCGCTCTTTGTGTTTGCCCTGACCGTCCCGCCCGGGGCCCCGTTTGTGATGATCTCCTTCTCTCTCTCTAAGGGGACAGTACGGTTAAAAACAGGAGCGAGCCAACCACTCAGGGCTTCAAGAAAGGGAATTGGAATTGGGGTAAATGAGCCTTTTATCCGTTCTTATTATTGACATGTCACCCATTTCCTGTTGTACGGCCCCAGAGATCCACCAGGCTCAGGTAGACGTGTTGCCTAGCAGGAGTTTTAAGAAGTTTCTTACAGGCAAACGAAGTCGTGTCCGACGGCACCTACTCCCTGACGTGAAGGGACAAGGACGGACAGTCTTCCGAGTGCGGCGTGCTGCAGTGCAAACTGTTGACCGTCTGTCAGAATAGGGTTCTCTGTCTCTGGTTCTGGGTCTCTTTGGGTGTCACATTTTGCCATCTGTAACTTCCCCATCCTGTTCTTTAATGTTGATGTTTTATATGCATGGTTATTTTTGTTTGTTTTAACCTGGTGCAGTGGTTTGCTGGTTGTTTTTGTCTAACTTGAGCGATAACATTTGTTCTCCTGTCTGACTCCCGCTCCTCTGTCACTTCATTCACTCTTCCTCCTCCTCCTCTGATCGCTCTCCTAACGCACCCCCGCCCCTCTCCTTGGCATCATCGACTCTCGATTTTTGCAGACCCCCAGTTTGTGGTGTACCAGCTGAAAGTGAAGATCCACACGTCAAACCCTGCTCACACGCGCCGAGAGGACAAGCACATGTTATTTGAATTCCCTCAGCCGCTGCCCGTTTGTGGGGACATCAAAGTGGAGTTCTTCCATAAACAAAACAAGATGATGAAAAAGGTGCGTGCCCCCTTTTTTTTTTTTTTTTTGGTGCCTTTTTTGTCTGACTTTGATCGCCGAGTTCTTGATGTAGACCAGCATGTCGTTATTCTCTTCCCAACTTTAAGTTTGCTGAAAACAAAAATACAGTAGTTTCTTCTTCTATTTTTTTTTTTTTCTCCTCCAGAAGTGATTAAATCAGTGTGCCGCACGGTCACTTCAGTTGACGTCTTCCCACAGTGGTCACACTGCTGACGCACATGCTACAAATGTGCACAAGTCCTCCCGACGAATGCCCCGCTTTGACAGATATTGGAAAAAGTTCTGCGGCCAAAGCACTGTTTTCCTTAGAATTATTTCAGTCTTCGGCGGTAACAGGGTGCACGGGCAAGCGCTTCACTGTCAGACGAATTCAGGTTTATTTAAAATTTAAAAACATGACATGATCTCTGCAAGGGACTGTCACACTTTCCAAAAGACAAATCGAAAGTGATCTAACGATCCGCAACATCTTGGAAAAAACGTTCCATTCCACATGAACTCACTTTGGCGTAGAGGTATTTTATATCCTGATATCGATCTTCAATGTATTTCACAAGTTAAGATACAGATATAGATCAGTACTACTACTACTACTAAACACATACTCTTAAAATTTACATTTACTTTGGTGAAACACAGTTGCACAAAAACTTTGGGTTCACATATGAGGATAGTCCCCTGTTGCTCAAGCCTCGGTCTTACTGAGGTGTGACCGGTAGTGACAAAAGTGAAATCAAGGGCTCAACATTTCCTCAGGTTGTGGGTTGAGTTAGTTTGGTTCTCAGCTTGAGTTAGTCATGTTCTCAGTTTGCTTGAGTTAGGTTGGTTTTCCGTTAAGTAACCTTGAGTTGGTTATGTTCTCAGAGTTACTTTTTCTTCATTTTCTTGAGTTGGTTTGGTCCTCAGTTTATCTGAGTAAGTTTTGTTCTCAGTTTCCTGGAGTTAGTTGTACCTTGAGTTGGTTATGTTTTCGGAGTTACTTTTTCTTCATTTTCGTTAGTTTGGTTTTCTGTAGTCGTTTGTGTCTCTGCTAAGTTACCTTGAGTTAGTTTGTTCTCAGTTTCCTGGAGTTAGTTGGTCTTCAGATTCCTTTGTGTTGGTTGGTTTAAATTAAAACGTTGTGTCACTCTAACTTTTTACTGCTCATTTTTCAACAGTACTAATGGAAAATACAGCAATTTAAGTTCAAATTGATGCTACTTGATGTTATTTACAGTACGAAACATTCCTGGGTTTCCCTGATCTGGGACTTGCACAGTGTGTATGTCGTGTCGAGTAAACTTCTCCCTGACATCAACTGCAAAGACTATCTGCCAACAGCTTTTCCCTGATCTGGGACTTGCACACTGTGTATGTTCAACTGCAAAGACTATCTGCCAACAGCTGATTGGCTAAGACATCTATGTGGTAGACTTTGACTTGTGACATCTCAATTTCAACAGATTTAAAAATGTTTTGCATTTGCAGTTGCATTTTCTCACATGATTTATTTTTTACTTCTAAAAAAACAACCCTTTAGCCTCTAAGGAATAGTTCCTAACACTCAAGTCCCAGTACTTTTTAAGGGGAAAAAAAAGTGAGTGAGTAAGCAGCTATGCTGATACTTTAAAACTGCAAAATCCTTTCTTCCAAAACTAGAATTTAAACTTTTAAACCCACTTTCTAGGAGTCATGTCAAGTCAATGTTAGGTCACATTGTACCTGCAAAAACTTTCTCAGGGTAGGCGAGTAGATTCCATCACATTCACATACAGTAATTTCGTTGGTTTATTATCACATGGAAGTAGAAAAAAAAAACATATGTTTATACATTTTTTCATGTCAGTACTAGTTCAATTCCTGTTCAGTGTTTCCTACTTTTTTTTTTTCTGGGGACCCATATTTTAAAAATCACAAACTTTCGCGACCCAAGTCGATAGACATTATTCGTTAACTCCTAGTAAACGTGATGCAAGACGACCCCCCCCAAAAAAATCTTGTGGCCCACCAGAGGGTCGCGACCCAGTCTTTGGAGAACAATGTTCTGGCTGACAAAATACATTGTGAGAAGTGCTGTCATTCAGAACTGGCTGACGACTGGGTGCCCATGTCGTTAAAACTTTTTTTATTTATGATATTCAAAACATTTCCGATTCCAACTGTAGTTAGACTCCTCTTTCTGTGTCTCTCTTTCTCTTTCAAGGACAAAATGTTCCACTTCTGGGTGAACACCTTCTTCATCCCTGGACCAGAGGAGAGCGTGGACAAGATGGAAAACGGGGCGGTGAACAATGCAGAGAGCCAGCAGGGCGGCGTCGGACAGGGGCAGCAGCAGCCGCAGCTACAGATGCAGCCGCTGCGCAACGAGAGCAGGGACAGCTGCAGGGACAGCGACAGGGACTACCTCATCCTGACGCTCACCAAGAACGACTTGGACAAGGCCAACAAAGACAAAGCTAATCGCTACTTCTCGCCAAACTTCAAGGTAAGTGGCAGTAGAGTTTTTTTTTTACGGGCGGTATCGGCCGCCCCCCGCGTTTGAGCGATTTCGTAGACTGAACGCCGCTTCTCTTCTGATTCCAGGTGAAGTTGTATTTCACGAAGGCCGTGGAGGAGCCTTCGAACTCGGAGCCGAGCACTTCGACATCCGTCACCCCGGACGTTAGCGACAATGAGCCAGACCATTATCGATACTCTGACACCACTGACTCTGATCCGGAAAATGAACCTTTTGATGAAGAGCAGCACACGCAAATCACGAAAGTGTGAACTCTTTTTAAATACACACAAGAAAAGAAGAAATTATACACCAGAAAAAAAAAAGGAGAAAACTTGAATATAAACTCAAAAGAAGAAACTTTTGTCCCTTCCTTTTACCCCAGACGGCAATAGAATATCATCCTGTCGAATGCCAATTTTAGGGAAGAAAAAAGAAAAAGAAAAAAAAAAAAAGATAAATATCCTGACCAATTATTTTTCTTTTTTTCTTTTTTTTTTTTCTTTTTTTTTTTCTTTGGCACGGCCACGTACCATGTGTGAGGTATTGACACTGTTGCCCCATGGGAAAAGATGCTGTAGCTATAAAAAAAAATGTGTTTATATATATATATACATATATGTGTATATACATATATACATGCATATATATATAAACAAACTTTTGTGTCAAAGACAATGTAAAGAGTACACAATCAGGAGACGGGAGTTGAAGTGTGGGAGAAGTTAGAACGACGTATTAGGACTATGCTGCTCCTTCTCCTGTCTAAACCAAGGCCAGTGCTGCAGTCACTTTGTTTCACTCCCTCTCTGCTCCCCCTCACCTCCCTCCCTCCCCTCCCTCCTTCCTCCTCCCTCACTTCTTCTCTCATCTTTTACTTCCCTCCATCCTCTCCTCCTCCCTCTTTTACTGTGAATGCTTCTCGTGCTCTTTGCAGGCTGTCTCACGTGACTTTTGGCCTTTTGTGCAGTGCAAACTGCATGCGGGCAGTGGGTTGGGGGTGGGCGGGGTTATGAAGAGGCTGTGATAATGTCTAAAAGCATTGCCATTCCTGTTCCCACTGTGTATACGTTAAGTTATGCAGAACAAGGCATCCCATGTAATTGTTAATGTTTTTTTATCCTAAGATAATAAAAAAATATAATACACGAAACAGCAGGGAGACAAGTGTTTGCAATAATGTCGACACTACATTGAGAGGACAGTGGTGATTTGCATGTATTGGAATTGGCGTCCATCCCTAATAAATGTATGCAATGTTGTCTTTTCTTAAAAAACAACAGAGTCGCCGTGTCTTGTGCGCCAGGTTCCCCCCGCTGCACTGAGCCCAGGGCTTCATGGGAATTTGAAGGTCATGCTGAGTGGGAGGGTGTTTTAACTCAAAATACACCGGCTCGGTGTTTACAGGAAACCTTGCCGGGCTGTTTTAAAGGTAAATCATTAGGAAAATGTCATTTTAATGAACTTGAAACTCCATTTGAATGGAGACGATCGTTGATGTTTCCACTAACGACTCGATTTGTTTGATCTCAGGGCTGATTTATCACAGAGTAGCTTTAGATGAATCAGGGTTAATCATTATTTTATAAAAAAAATGTGTTTTTTCTGTTAAATGGTTGGGTATTATATGGGAAAAACAGTTTAAAAAAAGTTATAACCATGGAAACATTTTTAGCCGTTACTGTGCATTTTGACGGTGGTTTGTAGAATGTGTGGACGTCTTTTCAGAGTTTGGTGAATAATAATCAGTCTTCAGTTCCTCACTGTCCATCCGACAGTTGTCAGTCAGCTGGTAGAGTTGTTCACTTCCCCACGATCTAACATTTGAAGTTCCTACAGTGTGTACGAATTACATGTTTATTGGCTGTTGTACCGATGGACATGGGGGTTGAATTTTTCGATCTGCCCGTGTGCGAAAGCGCGTTACAAATTTTAACCAGATCAAGTATAAAAAAAAAAACGACTTCCCTATTTTGTTTAGAATTCCATGCCAAAACTGGACACAGAGGGAGTTCAACATTGGGTCAGATTCTGTTTTTTTGGTATATCTTTCTTCATTGAGGAACTGAATTGCTGCACGGTAAAGTTGCCAAATACAAATACACGTTTATGAAACTGCTGTCGAAAATCTCAACTTTTCCACATTATTAGGACTTTTCTTTTCTGTTATGGGTAGATTCAGACTATGGGCAAGGTCTGTTCCAAGGTCTGCCCTGTGACTAGAAAGTCATTTTTTTAAATATTTGTGTCGAATAGGGCGCAATAATTGTCTTAAAAAAAGAAAAAGAAAATGTCTCCACTTACTGGAGATTTCTTTTTTTTTTTTGTCCATCT